AAAAATTATTGCATGTCATTTTTGAGATACTTTTCTGTAGAACTTTATTTAATCATGGATATTGCTGATAACTTGAAAAACATGTAGAAAACCTATAGGCTTCAGAAAAATATGATTCCAAGTTTGTTGATGTTCTTATGTAATGTACTTCCTAGAAAAATATGTGTCATGCATGTGTTGAAGAAAAATTTTGAGGTGTAGTTCAAGTGCCTTTAATGGCTGATTTTTGTTATTTTAGCTAGAGAGCAAACTTTGTATAAAACATGCATGTTATAATTTTTGTACAGTGATTGTATGCTATGAAGGTCATAGGAAAAATGCTAACTCTGTTGTTTGACACTTTTCACATTACAAAGTATTTTCATGTTCATAATCATGCCATAGCTTGTTATTTTTGTGTAGGCTAATCCACTCATTCAAATACCATGAAAATCTAATAGTAGACTACTTAGGGTAGTAATATGCTATGGTAATTTTCTAAGATTTTTCTAAGCAATAAAAATAGAGGTTGCTATTCAAACCTATTATTAATTAGGGTTTAATCAAGTGTTGCTTTAAGTGTGATTAAGAAATTAGTGAATCTTTGGTGTATCTTTGAAGCATTTAATAAGATGTATTGATTTAGCATATTAGTAGTAGAAGAGAATGCAGTAGATGACATGTGCTTGTAGTATATGTTTTTGGATGATGTTGACTACCTTGCATTCAAATATATCCATTGTATTCATCTCATTCGATGCACCGATTGCATAAGCGCTTACGCACATTGCATCATACAGGATCGTAAACCGAGAACCCAGTCGTCATACCCGAGGAGCCCGAGGAGCAGCTCGAGGTGCAGCCGCAGGAAGTGCCCGAAACCGACGAGGAGGACGTTGAGGAACTTCCGGAGTGCCCCGATCACCGCCCGAGCTCCTTTGAGAGAGGCAAGCTCCGGAGCATTTTTCTTCCAGTTTGCAATTATTAATTAAATGCTTTACTTTAATTGATGCATTACGTTCAGGAGTTGTTTGCAACCGTTGCTGCATTATACCTTATTTACCTTTGTTATACTATATCCTTGTTACCTTGGTATCCGCAGTCGAGTCAATGCTTAGCTGGCTTAGACCGGTAGAAGTCGGGTGATTTTCTGTCACCTGCGAGCTATAGGTGGTTACCTGGATCTGCTTGGATGACTATGGAGTCATGGTATAACTAAGTGTTAAATGAAGTTGAGATCGGATGGAGACTTGTAGAGTTTTGGACTGCAGTGCTTTCCGTCTGTGTCAATTAAGGACCGACCGTTGTTGGGCCTCGAGTCATGTTGAACGCATGCCTTACATTTAGCTGGCCGGATAAAGTACCTTCCGACCGTGAAGCTGGGAGATTATTCGGGCCGAGTAGATTGCCCGCAGCGCACTGGGCCGGAGCAGGTGTGGTAGGACACGGGGGCGAGATGATAAGACCAAAGTACAGTCGGTCGGCCCCCGGGTACATGTGGTTCCTGGCAAACTCGAGATTCCTGGATAGTTGACTCGGTGATCAATATCTCACTTTAGCGGGTGAGTGAGGTTTGTGTAAGGAATAAATCACCAGCTGGTTAGGAATCGATTCGAATCGCCATCGCTCCTGGATAGTGAGCACTTGACTTGAGTGACTTCATCGTAGTAATGTTGATGGAACACTTGGACAATTATAATGAATATGACATTATGGAAGTTGTTTAATGATCATTGGTTATCATTATCTGCTTAATCACATGTTTGCTCTAGTATAGGTGCAAATCTAGTCGACAGGTTAATAACAATTAACTTGACAATAATGCTTTTGAAAAGGGTCTTGAAATGCTAAAAATGCTTTCTTTTTGCAAATGAGTCATCTACCCTACTATAAAGCTTTCATAATCCTTGGTGTCACTTATTTTCGGTTATGTCGGGTAAGTCTAGCTGAGTACCTTCTTGTACTCAGGGTTTTATTCCCACTTGTTGCAGATGGGTAGATGTATTACGGCTACTGTATCAACTGCCTTTATCCTGCGATGGGTGATGCTTAGGACCATGGGCATGGTCATTCCTTACATCTCGTCTGATGCTTTTGTTGGAGATGATCATTCGCTGGCACTATATTTGAACTCCGTGTGAGTGTGTGGTTTGAATAAATGGCTTCCGCTACTTTTATTCGAACTTGTTTTGTAATAACTATGTTTAAACTCTGATGTATCTGAGATGCAAACTTTTATGTAATATGTGATGGTGACCGCTAAACTTATTACGATCTTGGCTGGAATGGAAGTTGGTTTGAAATCCTTCGTGATTTCACGGACTACCGGGTTATACGGGCTTAAGTTTGCTAAATCGTCTGCTCTGACGATGATTTTCTTACTTAATTTCGTATAATTGGTCGGTTCTGTTACATCAACCACAGTCAAAACCGCTGACCTGACTCGTCCGTCCGGTCCTGGCAGAGCTAGGGTCCGGTAACTGACCTTCGCCTCCTTGTCTTTTTCTATCTCCTCAAACACTTCACCCTTACTTTTAAGTTGCTAACCACAAAGTGTATCGTCCATGTGCATGTGTGTTAGCATTTTTTCAAGCATTTTTTAAGGATTAGAAGTTAGCACACTAGGTCACTAATGCATATGCAATACATGGTTAACGGGCCTTTGGGCTATCCTTTCTTAATACAATGATGCGCAAATCTTTTGCATATTCGAGAAAAAAAAAGGCTTTTGGACCACTGGGCACATAACACAACCCAACAAGTAGCTAAAAGAAAGTTTTGTGTTTTAGTTGACATGATGATTTCCAAAGCCACTGGTATGAGCCTGGCAATTCTCTGTGTCCAGTCAGGACCTTGTATGCGTCTGTGGAGGTAAAGAACTGGGTAACACTTGCTGCAGAATGAGAAATTGATGAAAGGATTGCTCTGATAGTGGCTAGTGGAAGAGATCTAGTAAATTAGATGTCAAAACTTTCCAATGGTGAGCTCTTTGGCCTTGCAAAATGAGAACAACTCTAATATTGAAGAATTATTCCAAAAGTGTTCCATAAAAGAACTGAATGACTAATAGGGACAGCGGCTACTGCGATAACTTTAAGGGGCCATTCAGTTATTCCGGAATGGAGGCAGATCCAGCTGATGAATGGTTATACAAATTACACGATCATTCCAGCCAGGAATAATTCCAGGCCATGAATCCGAAACAACCAAACATGCCCTAAGCAGATCCACTAGCTTCACAATACTCCCCACCACCACGAGAAGGAACCCCCTTGGCATCTAAAGGAAGTTTGCCACATAAGTAGAGTTGTATTAAAAAATACTTGTGGCGCCTCATAAATTTAAAAAGATTTATCAAAAAAAATTTAAAGAAAGTACTGGTCAAAGATATGCATAGAAGACCATACAAAGTCAAATGCCACAAGTATTTGTAACTTGCAGCCTGTTTGCTTGTTGGTTTCAGCCAGGCCAGCCAGCCAATAGTGTTTTTCCCTCACAACAAACCAGCACCAGCCGGGCTTATCAGCGCAGAAACCAACGAGCGAACAGGCCATTGATGGAGTGCCTCAGGTCTCCTTCAGTCTGATTAATAATACCAAACAACTTGTTTTCCTCTGTTTTAGACAAATCATAGGTAACAACATCACAATATTTACCGCACACAGTGAATTTGTCTGAGCTAGGGATTATTACAAGTTTCGAGAGGATGCACAGTATCTGGAGAAAATTCCTTCATTGCCATCCAAAGCTATATTAATCCCTTCATTGCCATTCAGATTTACATGTTCCCTTGGTTGCCATTGGTTTATATTTTTTGTTCTCTTATCTGCCATCGTCGTTACTTTCTCGTTAAACCGTCGTATGCACCATTAAAACATGTGGCGGTCTAGTCTCTTTCGCTCTTAGCGCCCGCATACCGTGACCGGCTCCGCAGTCCCAGGCCCCTGCCCTGACCCCTCCTCGGCGCTCGACGTGACGGGCGGCGTAGATGCGCTGCCGGCTGGTGGCCCTTCCACGCTTCTGGTCGCTGCCCGGCACCCACCAGCGTAGCGCGACCGCGCACGCAGGCAGACAGGGCGACCGGTGCCGCCGGCGGGCCTTTGCCGCCTCCGATTCAATTCCCCGCCCCCGACACGGGGCGGGCGGGCAATGTTCGCACGCACGAGGGCCTCATCACTGCGCCCGTGGCTGCCCGAGCAGGCCTTCAATGGCAGCATTGGCGAAATTGGCTGGAAACTGAGTGGCGCGTTACATTTGCGCGCATGCAAGCCGGCAAGCCGCACGGGCTGCCTCGGCGACCGCCACCGGGCTGGCAATCTGCATGCATGGTGAACGTATTCGTCTGCTCCTGCAGCAACCAAATGCAGCTCCTGTTCTGCACTATTACCGGTGTCTTGCTCTGTTTCATGGGTTGTCGACAGGTGAACGAGCGGCTGCCGGGCGGGCGCGACGAACCCCCGACGCCATCGATTAATAATCCCCGGCGCCGGGGCGAGAGGTGGACGCTTCAGTGCCTCCAGCTTCAAACACGACGCGGCGCATCGACTCTCATTACCCGTGCTCACCTGCTCAGGTCATCCGATGGCGTGGCCTCGTGGGTCACGGGTCACACTTTCGTCGTGAGCTGCTGCGCGCTACACAGACATCACGCCATGATGCGATGGATTGAAGAATCCCAGTCCGTCCACACGCATAACAGGAGACGGCGACGGCGACGCACACGCCACATGTTTTAACGGTGTATACATGGATTAACGAGAAAGTAACGACAATGGCAGATAAGGGAACAAAAAATATAAACCAATGGCAACTAAGAGAATATGTAAATCTGAATGGCAATGAAGGGATTAATATAGCTTTGGATGGCAATGAAGGAATTTTCTCCAGTATCTGGGCAGAAATACTGTTACACACAATCAGATTGAAGAAAACCAAGAATATTTTTTCCCAGAAGAGATGTGAGTAGTATCTGGTGGGCTCGGTGATGTCTTTTTGGTGCTGAGACTGAAGTACCAGCAAATCTAGCGACGCCATTCTTCCAGGGTTGGTGTTTCAACTCCAATGTTCTTCATATCCCTGATGTTTGCTGAGTAGCATATAGGAGAGATGCCTTAGTTCAGTCACCAGCAATCACATTCGAACAGATTAAAGAGTGACCAAACGGTATACTCTTTCATTATTCTGGTGTGACAGCCATGACAGTTAAAGTAGCCAATTAATAAGCTACGGAGTGTAACACTTTGCATGGTTACTCACCCAAATGTATTTCTAGATTAGCAGCAGCTGTAGCATCAGTAATAACCGTAACTTTCTCATAGTCCAGTGCGACAGCATCGAAGAGAGTCTGCCTGATGCAGTTTGGTGTTTGGACCCCTGAAAAACAAATACATAAATAAAATAAATGAATAATGATACCATGTGGTATTGAACTCTGTTAACCAGAAAATAATGATGATGATTAACAAGTTGCAGTGCTGAACAAAATGAACTCAAATAATTCCGACAACCTCCGACAAAATTAACAAGTTCAGTTTAAGATGACCATGCGGGCATGCAGCTTGTTCTGAATGGGACAATGGAGACTAGCATTGAAACCTCAAAAACAAAAAAAAACCCCGTAATGGCTTTCAGAATAGGATAGCTCATGAGTTAACATTGTATGTCCTCACGGCAGTATATATGCTTATGGAGGGCATTATCCAACTTCTATTTCTCCCTTAATATGTCAACATTGTACTAATTCCTATTCTGAGAGATATATCTCCCTTTGATTCCCTCCCCCGAAATAAAAAGAAGGCATGCAAACATGAAAGAGCATGGATGGAGTAACTAGTAGACAGAAAAGAACTTTTACATCTGTATATAGGTAGATTTGCATGCATCGATCAGTTCTTACCAGTTACAACCAAGTTCTTGATCCCTGAAGTTTTGAGGACAGAATCGAGGTTGGTGGCAAAGAAGGAGCTGAATCTTCCCTTCACCAGCTTGTACTCCCCGTCCTTGATAACAAACCCGTCGGCCAGCTCTGCACCTTTGGAACCTTTTACAGCCGGACCATTCCCCCTGGAATAAAAGTGCCTGCGAAACAGTTCAACGTCTCTTCCAGTAGGATCATGCTCTCTCACAACCTACATTGCAGTTCACTAGTCTCAATCAGTATCATGTTTCGTCCACCAATTGAAACAAGTCATGCATGCAACAACAATTAGTCCTGGAAGAAAATTTGTTAATCTAAGATTAAACAAGGGTTTCCCCCTATTTTATAAAATGAAAATAATAAAAACAAATATTTCACCTATTGCCTCATTCAATCTTTTTCTAGCACATGCACATCCATATCCTTATCCTTATCAGTTTCCATGGCGGTCCCATGTGCCCATGTTTTTATACCATTTTCCTATTCATCAATACTACTTCTAATTCCATCTGTGGTATTCTATTCCTAAATTTTGCATGGGCCTTACTAAATTTTTACTTACATTCAATCTCACTATATTGGAATATGTATTATAAGTTGTATTAAGGTTTCAAATCGTTTTCAGAAACTCCCAAATCAGTTGGAGACCCTCTCAGCCGATACAGTTTTGGATGACAAGTATATACAAACCTTTCACACCAATTAAACAATATTTATTTGAGAAACTTTTAACTTGTAAATATGAAAGTGAATTAAAAATAGTGAAATCAGATGAATTTGATCCCAAAACATGGTACTAAAAACAAGTGACAAGCGCACACAGTAGTAATTGTATATCCATGCATATTATTGTTTTTTGCAGTTTTTCATCTTGTTATTTGTTGCATGGAACTTGGTTCTTATTGTTCCTAGAGAATGGAAAACAAAAGGGACTTACTTCAATTTTGTGAGTCTAGAAAACCCAAGAAAAATTGTTGCCAGAATTGGTGAAAGATGTTGACATCCAAATGAGGAAGAGGTTTTGTACTTACACAGTTCAATGGAATAACGTTTTCCTTGTTCTATAATGCAATATATAGTTATAGAGTTTAATACTCTCTAGATATAGGTTGTTTCAATTTTATTCAAAGTCAAATTTATTTAACTTTGTCCAAGTTTATAAAAAAATATACCATAAAATATATTGTGCTATAGTCAATTTATTTGGTATATATTGTGGATGTTAATATATATTTTCTATAAATTTGATGAAAATAAAGAATTTTGACTTAGGACGACAAAACTAATAAAATGATCTACTTTTGGGAACTAAGGTAGTAAATATATATAATTTATAGTGAAGTAATGGAAACTATACCTTACCACTAATAAGGCACTAAACTTGAGTAAAAAGCTGGTTGTAAAGTTCCTTATTGAAGCTTCGTAGTGAAGGACTGCTGAACTAAATTCATTAAGAATGGGACCCTGGGCGATGGAAGGGGCCACTCTCTAACTTTAATTTGTTGCTTTTCTGTTACACATTGTACGTATCATATATAATTAAATACTGAATTTCTTTCCTATTGACATTTGTCCCCTCTCTAACCAAATCTAGGTCCTGGCTTCGCTATTTGGATGGGACCTCTGGTGGTGGAATAAATTATTTGGTCCTCATAGTGCATTTGGCTAAGAAAATTCTATTATGTCTCATTTGGATCACGAGTCTTGTGATATTATTAAGCTGTTTCTTGTTAATAACTCATGCGTAGATCCAAGAAAATCTTCGGGAGTGCAGGTACCATTTATTCTCAATAGGGTGGGTGCCATGCACTGCTCCGCACCCCCACGCTGCCTCCATGGAATGGGCCTTGGAGGAAGAGATGGTTCGAGGTAGGAGCAGCGGCGGCAGCCGCCAAGAGGGGGCAGAGCGGTGCAGGTGAGCGGAGGAGGAAGACACATTTTCCCCTTCGGTGACGTTTCTAGAGGATCAGACATAGCGAGAGAGATGCCCCACTAAGAGCACAACTTAGGCCACGTTTAGTTCCAAAATTTTTTGGTTTTTGCCCATCACATCGAATCTTTGGACGCATACATGGAACATTAAATGTAGACGAAAAAAAACTAATTGCACAGTTGGGTGAGAAATCGCGAGACGAAACTTTCGAACCTAATTAGTCCATGATTAGACACTAATTGCCAAATACAAATGAAAGTGCTACAGTTGTAAAACCCAAAAATTTTCGCGAACTAAACGTGGCCTTAAAGAAATAGATCAGAGAGCGCAGGTTTTTTCTGGCTGACATGGATGGACGAGCCTCCGGTGGACTGTCGTCGCCAGTTTGTTAGAGTAAGTATCACTAGTATTATTAGGTGTTGGCAGGTGCTGATATGACTTTTCTTCGAGAGAGAAAGCTAGGCCAATGGTATATACATATTTTAAGACACGAAAATTGTAGAGAAAAAGGATCTGATCAGTAAAATAAGAGCTGAAGTATTGCAGTTATTATAACTCGATCACCTTATCTTATGGTACAGTTAGTTAGGACATATACTCCCCTCATTCTAAATTATAAGATAGTTTGACATTTCTAGATATATTACTTTTAACTATGTATCTAAACATATATATAGTGTATATTTAAGTGTGTAGCAAAATTTAGGAATGGAGGGAGTATGATGTAATTAAAAGATTCTTCTCAAGAAATCAGTAATTCATCAGGATGCCTCCTTTTTGCATAGAGCCAATCCATTATTAAGCGACAGAAACCCAACCCAGACGATGAAGATGCCGCGCTCCCGAGCGATGGCGACGGCCTCCGCGACCGCAGGGATGATGGCCTCGCCGCCGGGCAGCAGCGCTGGGCTGCTCATTTCCGGATCCACGAATTCCTTCTGCAGCCAACAGCAATAGAGCCATCCATCAGATCCCAGCAGCAGACCGCGAACCAAAGATCGACCATGGAACCAGCTGAACACACAAACCAGCTGATATTACCTGCATGTCGATGACGAGCATGGCAGTCTCGCTCCACATCGTCGTAGGCGCCATGGATATATAGCTGCGATTACTACTCTCGATTCCAGGGACTGAGCCTCTACCAGGGCCCTCTCAGGGGGTGGAGGAATTCATATATAGGCCTTGTTTAGATGTCATCTAAATTTCAAGTCTTTTCACTCTCTCTCCGTTACATTAATTTTTAGCAGTTTGTATGGAGTATTAAATGTAGGTAAAAAAAATAACTAATTATACAGTTTAGTTGGAAATCACGAGATGAATCTTTTGAGTCTCGTTGGTTCATGATTGAACAATATTTACCAAATAAGACAAAATGGTACTATTTATCGGGTTCAAAAATTTTACAAAGTGAACAAGGCCATAGTGCTAGAGAAGAAGCCCTGCTGCCGACACGACAGCAACTGCAAAATATGACAGTTTATAAACCACAATTATCTACAGAAAAAGGTAAAATTTGGATTTTGAAACAGCATGGTTCTTTTTATTTGGCAAATAGTATTAGGGCATTTTAATTAGGCCCAAAACGTTTATCTTAATTTCCCACCAAACTTCAATTAGTTTTTCTATTTTACATTTAATGATCCATGCAGACACTAACATTCGATGCGTCTTTGTAGCAATTTTTTAGAAGTTGGGGTGGAACTAAACAAGGCCTTATCTACAGAAAAAAGGTAAAAGTAAAAAAGAAACAGCATGGTTCTTTTGCAACAATTAGGGCATTTTTGGCACGGCTTATGCCGGCTTCGACTTCATCTATTTTGCGTAAATCGAGACACTATAGTGTAAAGCCATTTTAAATCGTGTTTAAAATGAACTAAAGGAAACTTTTTAATCATGACATGACAACAGAATGTTACAGTGATGTAGACAGCTTAACTTTCCCTTAGCAATGATCACGTTTAACCCCTTCTCGTATCCTTATTATAACCTCCGTAGAAAGGTGGCGGAGATATATTCCTATTTATACTGGCTACAAAGTAAGTAATATGAACATCTTTTAAAGTTACGGCCTTATGGGCCTCGTGTTATATAATTCCTAGGAGGACCCTCCAATTAATTATGCTAAATCAAGCGGTTTTCATTCACTACTACAGAAACGTTATTTTAGGGGCGGCTCGTAACCTTTTGTAGGAGTGGTTTAGCCAACCGCCCCTACCAAACCGGATTTGTAGGG